TCAAGATGGCAGATCCAATATGGCGACTATAATCCGAAAAACTGTGCTGATTTAGTGTAAAATCGCTCAACTCCCAGATGTACGTTTTCATAAGATTGCATCGTTTTTCGAATTCGGGTCCGCTATATTGGATTTTAGAAATCTGGCCATGGATTCGTAATCAGCGACCTCAAAAACCTTTGAGGGAAGATCTTTGCGCGAAAACTCTAAGAACTTTCGGAGATAATAAATTTTCTTCAGAAAAATTGCAATTTTTCAACGTTTGTTTATTTGTATAAACAAAATTACCCCTGATTTCAAATTATTGCACATCGATTCTTATTGTTGAATGTATAACTGATACCAAAACACAAAAAAAGTTCGAAAATTGAGTGAAAACTACCCCAGTTATTCAGAAAATGGTTATGGAAAAGGTGGTATTCCACAATGCCACTGTGCTTCAAGGAGTTAACCTCGCGTTAGGATAAAGTTCCATGAGGCATATTTGCCGCGTATTGCGTAATTGCGTAATCAATCAGAAGCGATCTGCTGTTTTTGTTTTATGTTTCTCGCCAAGCAGATCGTTTCTGATTCGTTACGCGGTTACGCGTAACGTGGCAAATACGCCTCATGGGACTCTACTCCATAGACATATAAGATAGACTCAGTGAGATATATAACATACTGTAGTGAGCCTTGGGGTAGTGGGGATGGCCGAACTGTGCAACAGTGGTGCGAGAATGACAGCCATGCAAAGCTTGGGGACGTCTGCCTCACTTCAATGACGTTATTAAAGTGAAGCAGACGTCCCCAAGCTGCATGGCTGTCACTTTCGCACAGCGACTACTCCCCCACGCATTTTCTTATGGAAGACTCATTCCAGAATGTGTATATATATCTCACTGAATAGACCCCACATTAGCTATATATATGCATCCATGCCATTGCGAGACAGAAAATTGGAAGGGTCCTTATTCTTCTCTGCGCAGATCGGATGCGCAGTACGATCTAACCAATTGACAGCCAGTGGACAAGACAGGTAGTAAAGGACAGGGAACCTCATTATTTTCTCTCTCTTTCTCTCTTAAACAATATGGCATGGATGCCTCTTCCAACGGAAAATCCAGCTGATGTGGAGTCTATCTTATATGTTTATGCTCTACCCTAAGTGTCTTAAATACCTCTAAGTGCCCTAAGTACCTCTTAGAACATATATAAATGGAAGGGGAGTGGGGAATCAAAAAGCGTCCGATGAAAGTGAGAAAGGAAATCATATACCTCTCTCTTGCTCTTGTGAGTACTTTTTCGAAAGTGCGCATATGCGTCGTTTGGCGAGTTTGGCCGCGCGCACTTTCGAAAAAGCACTCACAAGAGAAAGAGCAAGAGAAAGAGATATATCGGACATGGGCCTCTCTGTTTATCATATGGGCATTTCTCTTCCAATTATACAGGGTGTCCCAGAACTGACGTACCGCCAGAAACCAGCGTATTCTCTGTGAAATTCTAAGACAAAAAGTTCTTTACCAAAACGCGATCCGATGAAAGATCG